TTCCCACAGACAGTGCCAATTGATGGTGCGCAATCCGGCTGGTCCTAGCTGTCAACGACCTTGCCTCCGAATGAAGCTGCAGGGAGCCTGAAACGGAGAAAATGAGGAAGTTCTGGGGGAACCCGGTATGAATGCTCCGAAGCTCAAGTTAGAATTCTCTCAAAGGCAAGATAAAACCAAATGGCGCAAAGTTCACATACCTTGTTCTTGGGGGGTAGGGAGCCTTTTATAACCACCTCGTGCACTCACTTCTAAGCTTCTGTCAGGTCGGGTATGACTACCTCTGGGCTCCTGCCAATTCGAGTGTCATCCCCTCTACTGGACAGAACCGCCACTGCTCTCTTTGTCGGAGCCGTCTCTGCGATTGGCGATGACGGTGGCAGGTGGCGGTGGCAGGTGGCCGTTGAAGTGCGGCTGTCAAGCGTCAGATCCCAAGTCAGTTAGGTGCGCCGCCCTTAGATATGGACCTCCTCGATGTCAGGTATGGTACGTTTGTTCAGTTCAACGTCCTGGAGGCGAAGTGCTGGAGTGGTGAGCGAGGTGAAGTCTTGAGTTCGGATAGAGGAGTGTCCCGAACTGCCATGAGGCGGGCCAGTTCGGGTCATTGCCTTGTGTGAGGTTCAGGGCCTTAGGGAGAGTTCGGGCTCCTTGTAGGGAGTTCGGGCTCCTAGTAGGGAGTTCCGGCTCCTAGTAGGGAGTTCAGGCTCCTTGTAGGGAGTTCAGACTGCTGGTAGGGAGTTCGGACTGTTGGTAGGGAATTCGGACTGCTGGTTCCTCACTTTGGTGCTCGCGCCCTGGGCGCGTTGTTGTACCGAGTTGTTTGCCTTTGCCACATGTTGAGTGATTACGAGGTCGGGCCAAATCTTCCTTCATCGGTTGTCATTCAAAGATTTTGATCCTTCTGTAATTGGGGCAGGTTGTCGTTGTTCTTTTGTATTCTTCATGCAACTCTCTGCATCATGACCCACTTTGTGGCATTTTTCACAAAAAACTGGGATGTTTTCATAAACTACCTTTTGAAAAAAAAGACCACCTTTGCCAAGACCAATCCATATTTTTTCAGGCCTCGGTTTCGTAATGTCAAGCTCAACAGAAACATGGGTCTCCTTTGTAGAGAGGTACAGTGCATCGTGGCAAGTGGAACTTTGAGAACCTTTCCCACATTACCTGCAATAGATTTGATGTAAGAGTCTCCAAACAGAAAGATATGAAGTTTTGGAAAGGAGATCCAAGTAGGGAGAATTGAAGGATCCTCTCGAGAACGGAACTCCGGCAAGCACGAAAAATTCTGAAGAGAAAACCTTTCACGTAAAAAACCTCTCGCCGCCAAACATTGAAAAAAATCCTCTTCATCTACAAAACGAAACAGTAGGTGGGTGTAATCAACCACAAAAATCACAAAATCCTTCTTCAAGATGAATCTGGACGATAACAGTGATTTGATCTCAGGGATAGGAGGTCTCTCGTAAGAAACTTTTGCCACAAAAGTTAAACGAAAAGGTTCGCAAGCTTTTGAAATTTCTTCTAATGAAAAAAAAAACATGGTGGTTCCCCAAACTAAGTAAAAGAAGGAGCTTTCAGATCGATTTGAACTTGATCGGGAGCACAAGAATCCGCAACGATAACTGATGTAACGCGATCTAGCTGCTCCYTGTTGGAGGTGACCTGGCTTCCAGTCACATGACGGACTAGGTTGACCTGCAAGAGGAGGATCAGAGAACCCGGGGTTGTTAGCCCGGCGAGATCGCTCCGATGCTTAAGTTAGAAAACTATTGCGAGCTAAAAATCTTACGAGTGTAGAGAGATAGAGAGCAGAGTAATCATGCGTACTTTGAGCCACCGGGGGAGGAGCCTTTATATAGTTGAATCCTCACGGGATTCGCGGATCAATTTCGGGATCTTCGTCACAATGAGATCCGTTTCCGCGTTAATTGAGGGATAACGTTGTTAGCTGATAAGGCTTATCAAATCCGCCCGAATCGGGCAGGGAGGAAATAATGCAAACCATTACGCGGCGTGATCCCGTGAGGTTTGGAATCCGTTGGAGGGATTTCCAGGATTACCACATAGTGTTCTGAAGTCTATATCCCCGAGCTGATGCTATTAAGTTCCGAACTAAGTTGAGTGTCAAAGTGTCTTAGGATCGAAGTAATCCTGTTGCAATTTGGTACCGAAGTGATTTCGTCCCAAGGTGGTTGAATATCCAAGCTCGATATATTAAAGACTAATCACGTTAGGCTGAAAAATCATTTCTTAGTCGTATCGTATCCACATGTCCCCTCTTTACTAGATCAGGTCAAATCACCCTTTATCTATAGGAGCAAAAGATCTTTTAATGGATTGATCCGTGACAAGCAAACCGGGAGAAGAAGCCATTACCTCAAGCCATTTAGACCTCGTCGCTCATTGTAGTATATCATAAATAATGTTCATTTAATAATTAGACTCAATGTTGAATATTGTATGCTGTATGAAAATCAAATCAAATCACCCTACCAAATCATGTTTTTTATTTGATGCTGAGGAAACCAAGTTTTGAATATGGAAAGTGAGTACTATATTTATATTTTGGCTTAAAAAAACGAAGCATCGTACAGCCAGGTGTGTGTTTTGCCTGTTATTTATTTTTAGCCAAATATGGAACCGGATTTTCTTTAACTACAAGAATTCCATGGGATAATACCTCTTCGTGGGCCCATGTTAGGAGAGAGTGTTAGTGTGTTAGAGGTTCATAAGAACAATCAATTGATTCATTACGAGTCCCATACCTTTTCCTAATTCTCTTCTTTTTCCTCTCTCTCCTGTTTTTGGTTGATGAATGTAAATTCGCTGTAACCGTTTGGATTTCGATATTTTATATTAGGTATGGCCATAGTGCTGGAACCACGGTACACGACTGAAATATTGTCAGTAAATAGAGTCAGATTCTCAGAACGAAAGAAGAGACTAGGCTGGACAGTGTTGTGGTTTTGGAAATAACCGGAAAAAGAAAACTGCCACAGTTGTTCGTTGTTACTACTTACTACACGTACACGTCTGACGTCCCTCCATCCCTCATTTCGAATGGCGAACCTTCTGCACTGCCCGACAGCGACGCTCTCCGACCTAGTACCTACCGACCCTCCAAAACCAGCTGCCGACGAGACCTGGCATTTAGTGGCTGCCTAGCTGTCTCAAGATCTGACGGTTAAAGAAATGGACGTCAGAGCTAACTGAGACGAATCTTTGACGGTAGGATTAGGAAGTAGCTGGGCCCACTTGTTAGACGAGACAAGTTCCAAGTAATCGGCATGCTTAGCTGGCTTTTATCCCTTTATCTGACCTGACGTCTTCGCCCTAATTTCTTTCTTTCTTTCTTTGTTGCGAATTGCGATAGGAGTAGGAGTCAACCTCTGGTCTCGTGTTAGGCAAATTTTGCCAGGCTGGATACCGTGACGTGGATGGTCATGAAATAGACATCTGTATTATGGGACGCGCTTTTTTTGTTGTCTGATCTGAAGTCTGAAGTCCCGTTCGACGTTCGTGCTGGACAACTTTTAGGCGTACCGGTACCCTCTACCGTGTAGGCTGTAGCTCTTCCACCAAGGAATCCGACCCGGCTATTTGCCTATCTCACATACGATGCGCTTGAATTTAAAATAAAATTTTTTGAAGCAAGTTTTATTAATCTGGCCATCTGGGTTTGAACAAGTCCAGAATCCTCTGTTTACTTGTAAATTTGTAAATGTGGTCTCTTTGATGACTGGGAACGAGTCAACGAAATATAATATAATCCAGATTGCTAACTATTGGAAATCGTTCGGACTCTTTGCTCAACCCGAACCCATTTCCACTCCTTTCTTAATCGTAACAACTAACAAGCAAAGAAAAAAAGTTAAAACAGAATTTTCGGTTATCGACAGGGAGTTGTTTGATACGATATTTCAAAATTCAAACTAATAAACAGAAGATTCCCTGAATGGGGCCGGGAGCTGGGTCCGGGCGTTTTGGGGGAGTAACGGTCCGTCACCACCGTCGCAATACCTGCCACGTGACCAACACAAACGGCAACACGCCGTTACGATGACTTTATTATTATTACTCCCTACCTAACGGAAACAACCGACGTGGGCCAGTTAGTTGAACTTTTTGACTTCCTCTCTCTCTTTCTCTTTCTCTCAGACCAAATTACTGGGAAAGGACGGATTAGCTGAACACAATGGCCGTGTAGCGGCTGTGAAACCAAAGATAACGCCCCACGCCAGTTATATTAAATGCATAGGGCGTACAACCATTCAATTCACTCACTTACCATTTATGATTGAACGTGGGGCGTTATCATTGGTTCAACTTCAACAGCCATTGCTTTCAGCTAATACCGGTTCTGTTTTCTATTGCTTAACGCGGCCGATGGGAAAAGCCGTTACAACTTACAACTTGAAACTATGTGTATGCTTTCTCATCCTAAAAAAAGTAAAACAGAAACCCAACCAAGTAATAAAACTGCTGCTAAATTTGCAGCTAACACCAAACAGTCCTTAAARGTTAGAATTCCAATCTAATCAGTACTTTCAATCCATGATTAACAGGTCTTAATAATTTCATAAATCGTTATATTAGACGGACAATAATAAAAGTCAAAAAAGAATTTAGTTATATAGAACAAGATAAATACTCTCTCCTCTTCTTTACTGGCAGTAATAGAACATATATATCTATTTTAACCAAAAAAAAAAGAAATTACTCTTTTTAAGATAAACATCTTGAGGTCTCCTATAGAAAGTCTGGTAATATGGAAGTTAATTCAAGCCTGACTCTCTCTCTCTCTCACCAATCCTCACGTCCCGTGCATGGGTGATGGGACTACTAGGGTTTTGAGAAGTCAAAAGAGAGACCGACGCGGTTTATGAGAGTTGTTTGATTTTCGTGAGCGGTTTACGGTTCATGCCAACCAACCTCTTCTATGTTGTATATCAGACGGTTGAGTCCCATCCACCTGTTTACATGTATATAAGTAAAACCTTCCAAAAACATTGAGAGCCCAAACAATTGCGTATTTCCTATTCCAGGGTTCCCGACTTCCCGTTTCCCTTGCAGTTGCAGAGAAGGAACTGAAGAAAGAAGATGGTGGTGGGTCTGAACGCTGGTGACCGCATCAAGGGATCGTGGAGCCCCGACGAGGACGCCAAGCTTACAAGGTTGGTGGAGCAGAACGGACCCCGTAACTGGTCTCTTATCAGCTCTGGCATACCTGGTCGATCGGGGAAGTCATGCAGATTAAGGTGGTGTAACCAGCTAAGCCCCTTGGTCCAACACCGCCCTTTCACCCCTGCTGAAGACGCTATTATCATCAAGGCCCACGCTACCCACGGCAACAAGTGGGCGACCATTGCCCGCCTCCTCCCTGGTCGGACTGATAACGCTATCAAGAACCATTGGAACTCCACCCTCCGTCGGCGACTCGCCTCCGAGTCGTTTTCCGCCACGTCCGATCCTGAGTCAGAGTCCGACTCCGTCAGGAAACGCCGTTGCCTCCGTGTCTCTCCGGAAAACAACAGTTGTAACGACGACGACGACGCCGATGAACAGCGGAAGGCCGAACCGGCGACGTTGCTAACGTTGTCACCGCCGGGGGAGAGTTTAGGGACGGCCTACGGTAAGGTGGAAGAGGAGGTTGTGGTAAAAAGGGATAGCGAAGAAAGGGAGAAAGAGAGATGTACGGTGGAGATTAAAGATATGTATTTGATGAACATAGTGCAGCGTATGATTGCGGAAGAGGTTAGGAACTACATTGATAAAGTACGAGCTAAGGGAGAGCTTGCTCTTGGGTTCGAATCGGGAACCGATCAAAATACCCATAACACTTGGGAGCTGAGAAATCGAGATTAATAAATAATAATACTTCAATTAATCTATTTTTCGTTTAAAAATTTTATTCTTTATTTTCCTCCTTACTTCTTGTTCCTCTGTTCTTTACAACTGTATAAAGATTTAAATACAGCAAGTGTATGGAAGAATCGAAATATCGAACACCATTTCTCCTTCCCTTTTTATCTTCAATTCTTCGTTGTTATATCACCAACAAAAAATAACCCCTTCATTGTCATGTTTTCCTTTTCCCTTTAGTTTTGATTTTTGAACACAGAAGTTAGGGTTAGGAGGTGCCAAAATCCAGGCCTGACTGGAGGGCACTGTTACGATAGGGACCCGGTTATCATGTTCTAAGAATAATGAAGTCAAAACACATTCACCTTTTCGTTTGTTTTGCCAACTTCGGTAGATTTGTTATTTGTTAATGGGTGGTCGAACCAAAGCAGTCGGGGCATCTACCAATGTGGAATGTGGTCATGGCCAGCTTCAGCTCTCAAGGAGTCCGGGCATCCCTCAACTTTCTTTCCAAGGAACAAATTTTAGTTATGATGGCCGTATAGGGTGTATCTTTCATGGTCAATATTCCTGTTTTACTGGTTAAATAACATTTTTATGATCCATTTCTGAAATTTTGAAAATAAAAAAAAAAAAAAAATTGCATCGATATCCCTTTGAGGGTGTCTCGATATTTTGAACATTATTTTTATATTTTTTTACTTTTTTTTAAAGGAAAGGTCCAAAGTACTTATACGTCACTTTGGCTGTATTGGAGTATATCCATATTTTGAATCTTATTTCTATTTTTTTAATAGAAATTTCCTCCTCACGCCCCATGCATTTGAAATATCCCCAGGTGAATGATAAGTTGATAACAAATAAGAGAATAGATGTTCCAGATGTGTGGTTGCAATATGCTGTGAGGTGGGTTTGAGGAGAAAATTTGAATTCTAAGGCAGTGTTTGATCTAAAAGTAAAGGTAGAAAAAACTATATAAGATTTCTACAGGTCTCCTACATTTCCCTACCTTTTCCTTCTTTTTTTTTTCAAAACCAAACACAGCATAAGGGAAATGGGTCGGTATCGTTGTCATTTACTGATTTACTCTTGAAAGTAAATATTGTCAACAGCCCACATCAAAATAAGACAAAAAAGATTATGGCATATAGGAAGGGATTATTCACTATGTTTAACATTAGACTTATAAGATACAGTGTTTAACGTTGAGAAAGAAAGGAACGTTTCCTACAAAATCATTCACGGCATGATTCATTTAGGCTGTGTTTGGCTTGAAGGAAAAGGTAGGGAAATGTAGGGAAATTGCATAGATTTCCCTACATTTTCCTTCCTTTTCCTTCAAACCAAACATAGCCTTATTGTAGTTCCTGGGCTTGTATAAGTTTCCCTACATTTCTCTTCTTTTCCCTATTTTTTCCTTCAAACCAAACATAACCTTATTGTAGTTGCTGGGCTTATATTACATTGTTGGATTTCCATTAGTCAGCCTAATTTGTGAATTGTGATAGCTTCACATGTCATCTTGTCATTTTAGATGTTATATACAGTAATACAAACTTGTGATGAGAAAAAAAAAAAAAAAAACTTGTGATAAGCGTGCCTCTACCAAAATTATTAATCAGTAAGCAGAGGTTGGAAGTCCTTTTAAGGCCCAGTTTTAAAGGGCTCGATCCCCTTTACATGCTATTTGAAACAATTTATCTAGCCCAGTGTTGTTCTGCCCACTGGACCTCACTTAACGAAGGCTCAACTTCAGACTCCAGTTGGCCCAATGTTGCTAAACCCACTCCTGTGGGGAATTTTGAACTTTCCTGAATTCTCTACTGCCCTCTTAATTTTCAATCAAACCAAACACAGCATGAAGGGTTCATATTTGATGCATGTATTGTATTGATTACATACATTCTATATATTATATATGCGTGTAGAAGCATATAGGTTGTATTTCAGTTTATGTATATTGTTTTACGTTTAAATATACGTGTCAATGTCACCCACAATTCACAAACAGTATATGGTTTGGGCTCTTTTAGTGCGGCCTAACTGATTCTCCGACCCAAGCCCAACCTGGCTTACATTACGTCAACGCAAGGCAGGTCCTATTTTGCTGGACCAGTGGGTCTAGCTTTTACCCCTTGGATAAGTCAGGGTTTGGGTCTGACTCATCCCTAATTCACCCATTATGGTCAGGGTGCTTAATTGAGTGGTGGCTGGAAATTATCATAACGGTTTACTACTTCAATTTCAATTTAAAGGAAGCTAGAGTATACGTGCTTTGAAGCTTTGAATTGTCGAAAGTGATAATTGGCCCAGTTGGTAAAGTTTTATACCGGTTGTAGCGGAGACTTGGGATGGAATCGTGCCCTGATCATTGGTAGAAATAATCAATTGCAGTATGGCCGGGCCTGGGCTACTGGGTTTCGGGGATGGGCTACCCCTATTGTGTAGCCCCATCTCCTGCCATATGTATTTAATTATCTATATTGGGGACGAGAGGCTTACGTTTTCTACCGATGACCTAATTTGTTGCTCGCACTACTACGTATATAGTGGTTTGCGAATTATATAACTAATTATGAATAAATATATACGTATACACATGCACACACAAAAGGTTCCATAGAACTCACCAACTGACCTAGTTGATCTCCCAACCTCGGTGGGTAAAGGAGTTGACCCCAAACGAAAAGCACCATTACTTTTACTAAAATACCCTAAAAAATGAAAAACACCTTTGATATCCCTTGCAAATGGACAGATGAAAAAAAATATTGGCAAGAGAAAATCTCCAGAGCAGGGTCAGCATTACTCAAGTATAGCTTAGGTTCAGCGAGGAATGGCATTTTTATTTTTGAAGGAAAGCCAACTTTTCTTTTTTTTTTTGTTTTTAAGAAATAGGCCTGAGAGGCTGAGACAGGTTGGAGAATAGTTAGTAAATGCATGTATGACATAAAAACATTCATATGTGATTGGAATCAAGAACAAAGAATATAGGGAAAAGTAATTCAGGATATTTTTTTAAAATTTTAAATATATGTTTAATTTTAATTTAAATTATTGAAACAGTTTTGTATTTTAGACAGTGCATCTGTTTGGCATCGATGCCGTTGCTCTAGAAAATAGTGACACATTAGTGCCGCGTTGGAAAAATCGGTGCTCCAGAAAATATTAATATGTTTGGAACCATTCTTTCATAAAAAACGGTACTCCAAATCACATCTTGGAAGTCGAGAATGCGGGAGCAACACTAAATTCAACATTTTATCAGATTGGAGCTCGTTGCTGCCAATGAGGACATGATGTGGCAGTGACGTGGACTTCCTATAATGGGTACCAATGTTGAAAACAGATATGGAGCACTGGTACCAAACATGTGTTATTGTTGTTCCAGGAAACGTCCTACCTAACAGTAATATTTCCAAATAAAAAAAAAGACACTGTTTTCTGAAAAAACAGTGCTTCCAACCCACACATCAGCAGCACCATTTTCTGAGAAAACGATGTTGTATATGCAGCATGATGCCAAACATATACAATATGTAATTCAAGAAATTTTCATAAAACAACTATTGTATCAATGAATAAACGCATTTTATATATGGGTTTGCTAATCATGGCTTTGACTTAAATCTTACCAAATGAATTATTTTTTCATCTTTTGTTTTATTTTTTAGGCTAAGTTTGGAAAGAACACAAATGCAAATATATACAATGCAAATCCTTATATATTGTATTTCTGAACCTTGTATTTGCATTTTACGTATTAAGATTAACACTCTTCCCAAACTGAGCCTTATTAGTGGTTATTTTAGTTTTTGAATAACAATTCTCTATTGTCTTGCATTCATTTTCTATTTACCAGTATGAGATTCTATTTTACGTAAGCTACAACTTGGGATATCGTTTCTCCTTTTTTTGTCAATTAAGAAGCTAACACTAACGCTATGTTTGGCTTGAAGGATAAAGTAGGGAAAGGAAGAAAACATTTACAAATCTTGTATGAATTTCCTTGCATTTTTTTTCCTTTCCCTATTCTTTCCTTCAAACCAAACATAGCATAAAGGATTAAATTAACTGAGCCTTAGGCAACTTCAGCCCACACTCTGAGCCAGGGAATTATGGGCTCGCTTAATACCTCGGCCCAGTATGAAAGGAGGCAATTATTGTCACACCATAAATTCTGGACTGGGGAGGGGGTTCAACCTGTTCACATCCATTCGGGATCTGCTACACACAAATTGTTCCCACATTTCTATTCACGGGACATCATATATAGTGGGAACATTTTTTTCATAAATGACAAGGAAGATATTCCCAATGTGCAGCATATATATATATATATATATATATAATGTTATTTATATTAAATATATATTATTATATTATTTTTATATATCAAAAAATATTTAAAATATTATTTATAATTTAATTTTTTTATTTATTTTAAGTAAATTTATTTTTTTAAAAAATATTGATATCTAAAAAAATTCGGGAATTCGGGTCCCCATAGGAAATCCATCCTCATCGGAAATCAGGAATGGAGGACAAATTTTATTCCCAACGGAAATTGGAAACGGAAATAGGGTTAATTTCAGAATCAGGGTCAATGACTGGAAATATGATACCGCCCAGAAATCACCACGTTGCCATTCCTAAATTCCACATAGGCCAAGGTTTCAGGGCAGTGCATAGAGTCACATAAGAGCTATGGATGGACACGAATTGAGTTTTTCACAAGCTATCTGAGCTTGGCTTGTGAAAAGCTCGTTTTGGTTCAGCCTAGACTTAGTGCTGTCTCCAACACCATCTATGTGTAGCTGCGAGATTTCCATAACAAGTGCTGCCTCCACATAGCTCAGAATTTCCCAGTCGTAGCTTCCTCTCTGGACTGGAGCCTGAAACCGCATCTGTATTTCCACTGAATCTGATAGTCTTGTACTTCGCAACTGCATCCTCTTTCATCTGATCTCCATCACCCTGAAATAGATTATAACAGAAGCCCAACTGAACAAAGTTGTTTCACATTTTGGACATTATTTTTCAGCAGGTAAAGCAAGGTCTTCAAACAGGCGCCCATTGCTAACTTGCCCCTTTTACTAAAAGCCTTCAGACGCCAAGAGAGCAAAGAACTATATCCTGAGGGGTTATCTAGTTCATACCAAACAACTTAAGAGAACGAGCAGAGAAACTTGACGAAAAGTCACGATGGATTAGGATGTGCTGAATGTTCTCCTCGGCTTTCTGCATAAGCAACAGTGAGGATCCTCCCTTTAATTGCAACCCAAACAAAGAAAAATACCACTATTGATGAATTTTTAGCTTTCAAATCCAGCCCCAAGGAGGGGGTTGACCCTTGACAACTGAAAGAAG